AATCTGTCGTAATCTGGCATCACTTACACAGGGATCGCAGCACAAAAAGTTGAAAGCGGGAGGCGTCGTATGGTGATCACTTACATCGAGGACATCTAATATGTTGCTGAGAGCATGTGGAAAGTCCTGTCATATGGTGACACTACACGGGAGCGACAAAGTTTGCTGAGAGACCAATTGGAGAGAGTCTGTCGTATGGAACACTTTACAGGAGCACAATAGTTTACTGAGATCTTGAAGTCTGTCATATGGTGAACACTTACAGGGTAGACAAGTTGCTGGAGATGGGAGATAGTGTCTGCCGTATGGTTACACTTACAGGGAGACACAAAGTTGCTAGAGATGGGAAGGTCGTCCGTATGGTGAGTCACCTTACGGGAGCACAAAGTATCTGATGAGGCGGCGAGAGTTCGTTGTCACTATGGTGAACACTTATCAGGAGCACAAAGTATGCTTGAGAGTGCGGAGAGTGCCTGTCGTATGGTTGACACTTACAGGACCAACAAGTTGATGACGATGTGGAAGTCTGTTTCTATATGGGACACATAACAGAGACGCACAAAGTTGAACTTAATGGAGAGTGCGCCGTATTGTGACACCTTACAGGAGCTAGCAAGTTGCTTAACTAGAATAAATGGCGACGTCACTGTCGATGTGAAACACTTTAGTCCAGTGTCGAGCGACAAAAGTGACGGAGATGTGAGAAGTCTGTCATTGTGACACTTTACAGTGGAGCACAAAGTTGCCTGAGATGGGAGTAGTCTGTCGTATGTGAACACTTACAGGGCAGCTACAAAGTTGCTGAGAGGGGAAGTATGGGCGTCGTGTGTGCCTCGCATCCATCCTCCAGGCCGCCGTTGTCCGCAGAGTCGAATGCGAGTGATATCGAGGAAAATCGGGGTAACAATTTTGGAAACAATCGTCATCAAATTCATCCCTAACAGGGAGGAGCAGTGGGGCGAGGTGGGGGGGGAGGGCGAGGGGGGGGAGCGGGGGGAGAAAAGGGAAATGACAAACTATTTTGACTAGACAGCATTACAGGTTGAGTTAGTTAAAGGATGGAGTACGGTTTGTTTGGTTATGTTATGGTAGAGATATAGTAGTGATGTCCACAGAATTCTATCGATTATAGCGTCGATCATCGGTTGATACAGTGCTCGAACCAAAGCGCTGGTATACAAAATCGCATAACTCAATTTTACTCAAAAATCAAAAAATGCGATAATAAATGTAAACTTGAACAAAAATACTTGCAAAAATTAATTGAATAATCCAAGAGATATCATGTCTCATTTATGTATTACGTTTCGGGAATACACCCGCAGATATTCGCTCGGAACTAGGCTCTTATGCTTCTATCCGCTGTTGTAGGGTCTAATAGCCTAGGAACAGCATACTAGAGGATACGCTGCTAAACAATGCACATATGAGCTATCCACAGCAACGCTACAGTCACATGCGACCTCACACGCAGGAACAATATCGAGACACCATCCAGCACCGAGTAATACACGCAGATCAGTAAACCAGAGGTCCATCCAGAGCGATCTAACTTGGGTCGATAACCTCGGACCGCACTCCGAGATTTACGAAATCACATATCCCGAACTACTAACACCCAGAGACTATGATGCGAGTAAATACGTCCTTGAGATCCAATTTATTTCCTATTTCCGCGTGCAATAGCAAGCGTTTTATGGCATGTAGACATGAGTCAAAATAACATGGTTCCAGAAAAACCACTAAATCAGATTTTAACCACAACATCAACCAATTGCACTCGCATCTTCGAGCCTCTGCCACTTAGCACCCCGTCTCCTAGCGAAATTTTGAGCAAGCTGGATACAGGGGACAACGTACCGCACCCTAAGCTTCGTGAAGATGCCGAAACAACTAACACCATCTACGCTGTCATGAAAAACAGCAACAGCTAACTACGATCATAATCACTACAATCACTCCGGGAAACTGAAAAAAAACCCAAGTTTTATAGCGTACGCACTCCATTTCTAATCACTTGTCACAACTGTGAGTAAGGTCTAACTTACTCGATGCAAAGGATCACATCTTAAGAATGCACAATACATAACACAACTAGCTGCACGAATATGCTCTATCACTCAGCAAAGGCACTACAACACGCACTACGTGTCAGCAAACAGTCAGGCCTTTAGACAATCAATCAACGACGCAACGGTTAATGACTTTAGGGATAAACTTATCTATTCTTGATCCCGAAGATATGGCCCTCCGAACGCGTGGATTTTGATGCTCACTGAGATTGCTGCCATGTCGGGCAGAGTGCTGTAGTGGAGTGGCTATGATTGACCCATGTCTGTAAATACATTGAATCCTCTCTAGTTGTGGGCGAAGGCATGCTGCTGATCCTGCGAACTCGAGGGACACCATGAAATGTCTAGAAACACAACCAATGCTTATAAGAGAAGACGAAAAAATCCTCCTACAGTCTCTGATTGACCAGATTGATCATGCAGCCGCCATCTGTTGCAGGAAATCAGTTAAAAAGATTCATAACATGTGCAGTGTTCACGTTAGAACCCTAGCATGTTATTGACACGAGAACATCAACAGCTTTGAGTAGGATGAACGAACTATTTTCTAGTTTGCGAGGTATTGTCAAAAGGCTTATGAAAAACTGTATAATGTTGCACCAAGTAATAATAGCACTAATAGCAATCCAATATATAAAATGGTCCCTTAATTTCTCTCCGAAGACATGTTTTCAGAGTGTCGAACATGTAGGTCCAATGCCAGTCAGGCTTAGGCTAATGCGGCAGTCGCACACAAACACTGTCGGCTGTGAACATGCTTTACCGAATAAGACCGACGACAGCTCGTCGACCGTTCCCACGTCTCGAATATGTCGTCGTTCCTGGCTGCGACGCTCTACGCGGTGAATAGAGCAGACGTGCCCTAGTAGAAGAGCTCACACATCTGTGTAGTGTCGTCGTAATATCGCCGCAGCAGGATATTACCCGCGCACGCAGAACCGTCTCGCCGTCCTTATTCGACGACGCCATTTTTCGTACGAAACGGTCGATTATCGACGGGAGTCTTGGGCGACATGCATCTTATTCTTTAAATAATAAATTTATGACATTTCACGATTTTTTCCATTCGTTTAATGTCCAAGTCTATATAATTTCTTCTGTAAATTTTGTAACGGACATGTAGACACGGATGTGGATTACGGAGACACCCGTGACGATTTCTGAGGATCAGATCAGATGCATCCGATAGTAAAGGAAATTTGGGTAGGGATTGCTCATACACGAACATTTTCATTAGCAAAATATAGTCTATAAAGAGGACCTGCAATATGCTTTCTAAAAAACCCAACAATATAATAGATGAAAGTAAAACATGAGTATAATAATTGCTGGCATTCCCGATACTTTTTTGGTTGTGGAAAAATCGCGCATATTTTAAGAATATCCTGCAAACATCACTGTCAACATCCACTCGGCGTCGCACAAACATTCGGGAATTTCGCGCGATCTTGACGTCATTCGAACAACGACAACCTCGCCTAGCTACGTCGACGCTAACTATAGAAGGGATACGGGCGGGTTGGTGAGTTCGAGTCAAGTTTTATCACATTTTTACGACTGCCCCGGCAGATGTGTTTGAGGCCAATTGCTCATGCACAAGGTATGGATTGTATAAGTGTCTCGAAAGACGAAAATCGGAGTAAAGAAATGACCAGCAATTTGTCAAATCTAACGAGCGAAGTGGTGGATGTCCCGACCTCAAGCGTGCCTGTTAGCAGTGTTGATGTGTATGAAAGTCGGTTCCCTACTTCACGGAGACTTCTGCCAATTCCATGTTCATCCATTCATGGCTTTTCAGCAAGATTTCGAACGCAGTAAGCACATTTTCTGTGGTAGATATAACGCGCTGCGTATCACAATAGCAGCTGTAATACAATTTGAAAGTCATCTTGCGGCCTCCTTATATTAGATGTAATCAGAAAAATCTGTACTCTATCTGTCCCGTATGGTATACGTAACTGATAGCTGCATGCTACGGGGGCCTATATATATAAATTAATACATATAGGCCGCTAATATATATATATTATTATATTGTGTGTGGTGCGGTCTGTGGACAAGTGTGTGTGCGTGCTGTGTGTGTGCGTGCGTGTGTGTGTGTGTGATGTGCGTGTGTTGTGTGTGTTTGTGTGTGCGTGTGTGTTGTGTGTTATGTCAGTGCAGTGTGGTGACCGTGACGATGTCCATGATAATAGTGCTGGCATGAGTGTCGACGAGCGTGTCGCTGTTATGTGGTGTGTGTGTGTGTGATGTGTGATTTGTATATGTGTG